GGGGAATTCTGGGAGTTGAAGTCTACTCATCTTAAAGTGGCCAAGTTTGGACAACACTGTCCTATGTGATCATTCTGTACTACTAAGCGTGGTGGAAACTTCTTTTTTAATCATAGCATCAGTGTCAGTGCAATAGCCCTGTATAAAGTCAATCCTATTCAAGTCAAACTGGAGATTTAAGATTTGAAGAGATTTAATTTGAATTTGCAAACTGAGGAGAAACCAGTTTGATTCAAGCTCCTTTGAAGCTTGCCTTGAAAAAATATCTGTCCATAGGCTATAAGGAGGAAATAAAACAAGAAAGGTAGCTGAAAACGCCAGGAGCTGCTTCATCTTTGTCAGATTGTGATAAAAGTAGAGTGATAATAAGCTCTTTAGAGGATATGAAACCTATCTACTTTCCACTGGATATCATCAAGGGTTTCACTGCAAGAAAATTTTGAAATATTTTTCCTCCAATAATTTTAAGGCAGAGATTTCAGGGATGAGGAAGGGATAGACAGCAACCTCTAAGTTGTCGAGCCAAGAGTTTAGGTTGTGCTGCTCCAGTGTTGCAGGCAACCTAACCCCAAAATAAAAATATTCAAAAGCTGATTAAGAGGTAAGCCCTTCATTTAAACTGTCCAGAGTCACTGTGAGTTGAGTGGCATATAAATTTAATAAATTATTAAATATTATTATCATTATTATCATTATTAGTATCATTATTATTATTACTACTATTATTAGTAGTAGTAGTAAAGGAGAAAAGAAATATTTAAAGAAGTTACTTATTTCTTCCTCTTTCATTTCTCTCTTTTTTTTGCACTTTCTATTCTCTCTTCATTTTTCTTTTTCTTTCTGAGTTTAGTTTGCCTTGTCTTTTGTTACTGTTATTAAAGTTTTCAATAAAATTATTTTAAAAAATTATTATTATTATTATTATTATTATTATTATTACTTTCCACTTGCTTTTATGGGATGTCAGGCTTTGCATGACCCTGAAGAAGGACCAGTGACTTGCTCTCTTAGAGTGATATGTTTTACTGCCTCTAAGTTCTTGATTTTCTGGGGTGCCAGGAGGGTTCACATAGCTGGTTGGTATGCTTGGGCCCTCCTGCAAAGGATCTCCATCACTAGTGGCAGATCCTGGCTGAGTTGGGTCTGTAATTTGCTGGCAGAGACAACAAAAGCTGGCTCGCACACAATGCCACAGAGATACGTACAGAACAAGTGGCATTTTTGGCTTTGCTACTGTCTTTTCTTACAAAGAGTACGAATTTAGGCCAACACCCATAAATGTTAGCCTGGCGCCCAACCATCACTGTCAAGATGCCTATCTCAGTCATGCAAACTTTAAAAGTAAGTTTTGGCCCAAGAATACAATCTGCCTTGAATCCATATTCAGGGTGCTGAGAAGTAAGTTGAACTCTAGGAAGTTCTGAGAAGTAAGGTGAACTGATAGGAAGACCTGCCCAGATGTGCATGATTCAATTAGCAGCATTTTTCAAACTTGGCAACTTTAAGATTTGTGGACTTCAACTCCCAGAATTCTCCAGCAGCATAGGGAGTCCACCCATCTTAAAGTTGCTGAGTTTGAAAAATACTGAATTAGCACAAGAAAGGCTTATACCTGGTCATATAATAAATCTACAATTTAAAGTGGACCAAGATTTAGAAGACTTTGGATGCAATGGACAAAATATATGTATTGCATAAAATACATCACATACATATGTATAAAATCTGATTCCCACTTTATGCACATGTAAAGTACACATAATCCCATTCTCAATTTATACATGCATATACAGGTAGTCCTCGATTTATGACCATTTGTTTAGCAACCATTTGAAATTACGATGGTGCTGAAAAAAGTGACTTATGACTGGTCCTCACATTTACAACCATCACAGCATTCTCGCAGTTATGTGATTGTGATTCGGGTGCTTGGCAACTGTCGCACATTTACAATGGTTACAGCATCCTGTGGTCATGTGATCACCATTTGCGACTTTCCCAGGTGGCTTCCTACAAACAAAGTCAATGGGAAAGCTAGCAGGGAAGGTCGCAAGTTGTGGTCATGTGATGCCTCACTTAACGACTGCATTACTTAATGATGAATTTTCCAGTTCCTATTGTGGTTGTAAGTTGAGTACTACCTGTAATGCATAAAATAGGTAAAATCCCATTCAAATTTAATGAGCATTCTCTTCTAACGGATACCTCTTTCCTCCATTAGATTGTTAAATTGAGGGTTTAATGTAAAGAAAGTGATCATGAAGCTCAAATCAAAGTTAGGCTTGCTACCCTCAACAGCTTTTATAGGCAGAAAGTTAATGAAATTATAAAATTCATTGACTGACTACTCATGTCGGTTCTTTTCATTCCACTCTACCCCCTTAGCATTCTCCATAAATAGAAGTGAGATTGCAGCTTTGTATATTGCACATAACAACCTCAGAAGCAGTTGCAAAAGCACTGAATCTATGAAGTGCTTTGAAAGACTATGAAGTGCTTCAAAGCTACTTGATTCGATTCACTGCTTCAAAGCAGGTTCCTGCTTTGATTTGCAAAGCTGCTCTGATGGGGTGATTCTGTCAAAGTTTTGTCAAAGCCCCCCTTGGAAACTTTGCACAGCCCTAATACCCGATATTCTGATGCTACTTGTCTAAGCAGTTCCACAAGCCTTGCCCGACTCATTCAAATTTCATTACAAGAGAAGAACACTATTTTTTAGAATATTTTTTTAAAAATAGAAGAATCTGTTCTTTAAAATGTGTGATAATGTTTTTATTCTAATAACTTTTTATCTTTTTATGATGCCTGTTTTTATTCACTTGTTATTTTAATTGTTCTACACCACCCAGAGTCACTTTGTGTGAGATGGGCAGCTATATAAATGTGATGTATAAATAAATAAACGCTACCTCTTTTATAGCTACACTACTACGCTGCTCTGATACAATCAGACACAGTCAGCCCATAAATTACCGTCTATTTCCTCCAACATCAGGCCTCACCATCACCATGCTCTGTAGAAGATACCTTGCTAATTGTGTGTGTGTATGCCTTTGAGTCAGGTTTTTGACTACTAGCAACTGCCTGGATTAGTCCCTGCAGTTTTCTTGGCAAGGTTTTTCAGAAGTGGCTTGCCATTGCCTCCTTGCTAGGGCTGAGAGAGAGTGACTGGCCCAAGATCATCCAGCTGGCTTTGTGTCTAAGGCGGGACTAGAACTCACGGCCTCCCTGTTTCTAGCCTGATGCTTTAACCACTACACCAAACTGGGTCTCTCTCTTGCTTACTGTATAATGGCTTAAATTCTTTTAACAGCTCCGCAGAAGATATACTCAGTTGGGATATCAGCTCTGTGGAATCATCTCTCCACCGAGATTTGGAAAGCTTCTAATGTGGAGTGCTTCCACAGACAGTTGAAGACTTAAATGTTAGCTCAGGCACTTCCTTACGTACCAGTATAGCTCATGTTTTCCCAATGTATCAATGAAATGCAATCGCTTTAACTTTTTAATGCATTGTCTTGCCTTGTTGTCATTTGGTATTTTTGATGAAAATGAAAAGTGGTATTTTTGAAAGTAAATAAATAGAAATAAGAGTACAAAAGTGTTAGGCAAACATATTGGGAGATTATCTTAGCGGGTGTTGGCCAATGATGTACCGCCAATAAAAGAAACCAATTAATGGGCTCTCTCTCTGTCCTTTCTCCAGGTAATCGAGTGTATAACTCAGGGCCGTGTCCTGCAGCGACCTCGTACCTGCCCGAAGGAAGTGTATGATCTGATGCTTGGGTGCTGGCAGCGGGAGCCTCATATGAGACTCAATATCAAAGAAATCCACTCCCTCCTTCAGAACTTGGCCAAGGCCTCTCCAGTCTACCTGGATATTCTAGGGTAGAAACTCCTAGCACTTCCTTGTATGAAGTGTGTGAATGAATGTTTCCGTTGCAACTAAACTCCATTATAATGTGTTATTAACTCTGGCAGTATTAAATACAAAGATACAGAGAAGCTTTCAAAGGGCAAGCTGTGTGCATCTCTTCCTCTGTAAACACAGTATTGACGTTACTGACATGTATCTCTTCTCTCCTTCTGTTCTATTTTCCTTCAATTTCCATTCAACCAGGCTTCTGCATTATTATAACTCTGCATAGACAAAGGCCTTAACAACCTGATCTGTTTTATCAGCAGATACTCAGTTCTGTCCATCACAGCTTACAATGCCTTGTTGTATTTCTGCCTTTGATCTGGATAAAAAAGGGAAAAAAAAAAAGACTCCAACTTTGTGACTTCTGCTATATGGATATCTAGAACATCTATGGAATCACCACTGCTTTAT